ACAAAAATGCGGGTAGGACTAGCCTGTATGTGGCGGTGTATAACGGATTATGGTCGGACATCGTCAGGGCAGGAATAAATGCCAGCCTTGAGGGGTACGTATGCGGATTAGACAGGACTGGCCTCTATGTGGTATTGTATAGGGGATTCAAACCGGACATCGTCAGAGCAGAATTGATACGCCGAATGAGACTGTTCGCGTCAAAGAGGCCAGAAAAGAGGAACCCAGACACGATCGGCCACACTCCGCTTCGAGCCCAGCCGTGAAGTTGGAAAGGGAGGTACAACCAAACTACTGGTAGACGGCGAATACAGAGGGTTCCGCCCCGAGCGTCGAGAGATCGCTTGGGGTCGATATGAGGAGATTATTTCTGCACCAGAAATCGTTTGATGCTGGAAGCCTTCTCACAGACTGGAAGACGGCCCATATTACACCCCTTTGCATAAGCGGTAGTTGTGCTCCTTCGACGAACTACATACCCGTCATCCTGACATCAATCTGCTGCAAAGTAATGGAGAAAGCCATATAAAAGGAGTTGATGGCTTATTAGGAAACAATCAACCTCTTAACCAATACACAATACGGTTTCCGAAAGAGAAGATCATGCGTAACCAACCTGCTTTATACAATGCAAATTTGGACAAGAGCAGTGGACGCTAAACACCCTGTGTGTCTGGCCTATGTTGATTTCCGGAAGGCGTTCGACAGTTTTCCGCACCAGCGTCTCCTGCACAGGTTGAGAATAATGGGCATCGGTGGCAAACTCCTCAAATGGATCGAAAACTTCCTCGTCGGCCGCTCCTAAATTTTATGCATCGAAAGATAACAATCAAGGCGCACATTCATAGAGTGTGGAGTTCCACAAGGCCCAGTGCTCGGACTAACCGTCTTCCTTTTCTTCATCAATGACTATGTAGATGGGTTGGGCTGTGATAGTGCCATGTTTGCAGACGACATAAAAATATGGGTAGTCATCCAGAATGCTGCCGATGAGACCAACTTTTAAGAAAATCTTTGTCGATTGGACGAGTGGTCCCGCAGATGGGTCTTGCCCTTCAATTTGAACAAATGTACCATATTGCGTTCCGGAAATCAGACCCCTAGTACGCGGCAATACCATCTGAACGGAATGCTATTTCGAGAAGCAGAAACAGAGAAAGATTTCGAAGTCTGGGTTACAGGCAGCATAAAGCCTTCTACACAATGTTGTAAGGCGGCCAAGGCCGCAACTTCAATGCTATATGCCACCAAGCGGACATTCTCGGTTTTCGATGAAGACTGCTTCTCCAAAGTCTTTGGCACGCTTGTAAGGCCGCATCTCGAATATGCAGTTCAGGCCTGGAGACCATGGACGCATCAGGATTACAATCTGCTCGAAAGGGTGCAAAGACGAGCAACAAAACGAATAAGACGTCAAAGTGCACTGTCATACGAGATTCGCTTAACTAACCTTAATCTCTATCTTTTGAGTTATAGGCAGTTGCGCGGAGACTTGATACAAACTTTCGTATTGTGCGTGCCTTGGACTGCGCCCTTCGGTGCGAGGACTTTTTCCAACTCGCCACAACAAGTAACCTCCATGGACACCCCTTCAATCTACGTGTTCCCCAGGGTAGACTGAATGTGAGAAAATATTTCTTCTCCAACCGTGTCGTGGAACCGTGGAATAACCTGCCGAGAGATTGGCCTGTCTCAATCTGTGGCGACATTTAAATACCGGCTTGACAGACATATGCTGCACCAACAAGCGGACTGTGTGACTTTTTAGCCATTAGACCAGTGACATATGTGAATCAATGTCTGCATTCACTTGATGCTGTAATGTCTCCACGTGTTTGTTTATTTATAGATTTTTTATGTACAAATAGGGGTTCAAAGGCGTAAGCCTATTTTCTCCATATACCCTGACTTTCTGACTGACATCAAGAACCGCAAATATTCTCGCTAAGAGGGAGGAATGATAGCAGTGGACTTAGTAACCAATTAAAAATAGGGGGTTGTAGAGATAAAGGAGGGTGTTCCCACTTTATCTACCACTAAATCCCGGAATGACCGTTCTCGAAGTCAAGAAGCAGAGTGTTCAGGAATGAGACGTTTAAAAGTGCCTTTTAGTTACCGGTGGAATGTGCTTGCGTAATTTCGACTTTAATACCAGTAACTTAGAATATGACCTAATTTCTGACAGACCATATCCTCATGTCGTCTGCAAACTTTGCTAACTCGCAATCGGAAGTTCTTGCACAATCGTCCAGGTATATAGGAAACAAAATGGGTACCAATACGGACTTCAGGCGATCAGCAATCTCGACCACAGTAGAAGCTGGTATCTCTTGACCGGTAAACAAAACTTGCTGTCGACCCACAAAGACGTTTTCGATCCATTTGGGGAAGTTGCCGCTGATCCCTATTTTTTCCGTTTGTGTAGCAGTCTCTGGTGTGGCACAGTGTCGAACGCCTTTTGGAAGTCAATGGCAGCTATGTGGACCACGGGCCCGTCGTCGAGATCTCCAGTCTAGGTCAGGAGATATTGTTGCAGTTTTTCGTGCAGGACATTCCTTTCCGGAACCCCTGTTGGCAGTTCGATAGCAATTCGTGAACTTCCAGGAATTGCATCAGTTTATTCTTCATGATCATATTCATAACTTTGCAGAAAACGCACGTCAAGCTTATGGGGCTGTAATTAGTCGTCGGTGCCCTGCTACATCCTTTTCATAGCGAAGTAATATGCACCAGCCTCCAATCGATTGGGAGCGTTCCAGTGTCAAATGACGTTAGGAGGAGCATCGACAGAGGCACTTAAAGCCCCCTGACAAGTTCCTTGATGAGCTTGGGTGGAATCTCGTCCGGTCCCGGCGACTACGATTTGTTCAATACCTCTAATTCTCTCCGGACAATACCTTCTGAGAAGAGTTTATTGCTTATACTTGGAGTCGACAGTTATTCTGTGGATTGAAGAAGCAACCCAGCCTCATTTGTGTAGACTGATTGGAAAGACTAAGATTGCTAACAGCAATCTTAACGCAACCGGTAGTTCTTATTAAGGAGACTTGATGTCTGTTCCTTTTACTTCTTCTGAGGTAGCTGAAGCATAATTTTGTTTTCTGTGTTGTTTCTCGTGGCAAATCCCTCTCGAACTTTCGGCGCACTTTTATAATCATGTTTCTCGGTTAGTTTCTTTGGGTCTTGTATATGTCGAGATACTCAACTTGCCCATGACACGGTATTTTCCCCACAGTTTATGCTTCCTGCTGACTTCTTTCTCTAGGTTGCTATTTGGCTACTCAGGGCGTTTTTGCAGTCTTACACTAGTCAGTAGGAATTGGTTGTTGACTA